ATATTGATGAAAACTTAACAAGCAGTCAATTTATCTTTCGACTGACTCATCTAAAGTATCAAAAAACAAAGAAACAAAGTCCTCATCGAGTCACGACAAGTTTATCAAAAGGAATCTCAAGAGGAAAACCACTACATTAGTTTCTTCCGTCTTTCGCTCCATAAGTTATACAGTCTGAGCTATTTTAAGACAGTCTGTATAAAGTGCAGCTCTTTCTAACACCAGTTACATCAACTTGGTAATTATGAGGTCATCCTCAATTCGTCATCTCGTGGCAGGCCTCAGTATTTTTGTCCACTTTTGAAGATGTTCTAAACTCTCCGAAATTTCATATTTGAAAGTATTTTATGTTATCAAATATACGCTTTTGCAAGAGGAAAACTTAAAAAAACGCTAAAAAAGAGTTTCCGGTTGTTACTGTGTTAGTATTACCAATGACGTTGTTTGAAGTTAGTACTTATTAAACATGATTAAGACTGTGGCAAGTCCACCTATAACCGTAAATATCTAGCACGCGGTTTGTTCCACGGATTTTTCATTGAACTATCGTAAAAACGCAGATTGTTGGGTCATGGTGTTGAGCCGTTCTTCACAACGGTACATAGAACTCACGGATTCTTCCTCGCTTTCTTGCTCATTCTCCGCACAATTACTCACTAACTAGGAAAACTTCTTCTGAAAGCTCGCCATTTTTGTCGCATCCGGTTGTCTGATTTTGCTCGCAAGTGTTCATTACCTTATTTGGTAGTACTCGCAAGTGTCACGAACTAAGAAGGATGGGGGTCGGTCAAAACTCTAACAACAGGAAATTTGCTAAGGAAACATATTAACTCGTTGTTTTATTTCATTGGCATTAAGCGAATCAATTAAAGGACATCTTGTTAGCTTAGATCCCTATCTCGATTATAAAAAAAATTATTTTATCCTCCTGGGAGGTGCGACCAATTTTGTGATGTTTTTCAGCGTTCATGGTGAAGCAATTTACAAGAGTTTTGTATAGTACGTAGAAAAACTGACTTCAACACATTCTGAGTTTTTTCATTCCAGTGATTGAAATTGAAAAAAAGAAATTTGGATGGATTAGCCTTGGAAGAGAAAATGTAACTAATACCAAAGCGAGACTTAACTGTACCGGCATTCAAAAGTGGTGACTTAAAAAGAAAGGTCAACCTTGACTTTCCCCCTCTCCGTTGTGTAAGAAATCAGCCGTGTCAAGAATAATTTGAGAGGGTTATCTCGCGACAAGCCGATGTCCATTTGTACACATATTCTTGATTCCCAAATTCGTGTTTAAATCCTCGTAAAAGTTGTTTTTATATCCCAGCTGCATGTTCTTTTATTTTGTTGTGCCTTATATTCTACAAGATGTGCATATACTTCATAAACTTTTGACGCTGTTGCCATTTAGCTGAAATGAAAAGTAGTCCAAAGGACAACTCGCCTCATCACTGACCACATTGATCTAAATTGTTGGGTCAGTAACATTTGTATGCTGTCTGGAAAGATCGAATAAACGGCGAGGTTCGAAAACGGAACTAACTTCTAATCAAATAATTTTAATTAGTTTTCTTTGCCCAACTAGAGCAGACACTCCGTACCGCGCTAAGATTTTATGCGATCAGGTTCCTGTCCTTCAAAGCTTTACAGCTCGTCGGCTTGGTTCCATGTTTATCATATTACTGATGTTGAACTATCTATGACACCGATTTCCCGCGTGTTTCTCAAACTGTTCGCCATAAAAGTCTTTTTAATTCTAATCTTTGTTTTGTTTTGCTT